GCGAGCCGTTGTTCACCATGGCCGAGATGTAGGGGAAGACGCGCTGCGAGGGGACAGCGTCACCGTGAGCGGCCTCCCGCGCCACAGCCCTGCTGCAGGCACGGCCGCTCCGCGCGCTGCCCAAACCCCTGCCACCTGATGCCGACGGATTCAGGCACAACTCCGGGGCCGGCACGCAGGCGAGAGCTGCAGCAGCCCCCAAACCTCCCATAAGGTCCACGACAGAGAAGCAGCTTCCATGCACGATCAAAAGCCCCAGGAGCCTTGCTGGGAGGCAGAGCCATAGGGCTCATCTCAGCCGGAGCCAAGCGCCCCGGTCCCAAAAGGAATTCCGGAGCTCGGATGAGGGAATTCCCTCACCGCGTTCACCCACGTGGCTGGAGTTATACGGACAGGGAGACGACGTGAAGCTAAAACGGTGCCGGAAAGGGTAGGTCAGCGAGAGCGAGTACCTGATTTCCGGGGCTGTACCTCCTCTTCTGGGCCTGAGAGTCCAGGGTTAGCGCAAAGCAAGAAAGAGCACAGAAGCAAGACGGTCACGGCCCGGAGCTCGGCATTAATCCGCACCCTGGGAATTTCCTCCCTAGCCAGCTCAGGGCACCATCCGCTTAGTGCAGGCTAAAGCGCAGACAGGTTGGGGAGTTAAGCGCCAAATCCCAGGCTCGCGGCCGGGAAACGCCGCCGACGCCGAGCCCTGCAACGCGCCACGGTCCTTGTCACCACCGGGCAGCAGAGCCACCCGCTCCCATCAGCTCCTCATGCAAGCATTGCGGCATGGGGACACCATCGACAGGTCCCAGCAGCTCCCAAGGGTCCCCACCGCTCATCTGCCCTTCATCCCTCGAGAGCAAAACATTCATTTTCCCTTTAACAGCCCAACACACTGTTACAGCAACCAGCTGTTCAGCTTTTCTCCATCCCCTTGGTTTTTTGACCATTTTTTGCCACCGAAGAGCAGCCCCCTGTTCTCGCAGACTCCAGATGCTGCTGTGCTGGGAGGCTGGACAAACCCGGACTATTTTTTCCTTTTAAACAGGACCTGCCGCGTGTCCCTTTACCTCAGGGAACGGCTGCTGCTCTGCAAATCTCCAGGGTGGCCTCTCCCAGCCCAGCATTACAGTAATCCCCGAGCGCCGGCGCTAATGCCGTGCCAGACTGCTCGGAAGGGCCTTCCCCGGGCCCCGACACACGCACAAAGTCCATCCCCGGGCCAGCTATTAATGTTTGAACAAAAGCTGCTGGTTACTCAACATTTGTCCAGCAGCTCCAAGGTCAGGCACATCCAGAGCGAGCCCTTCGGCTCACTGGGACAAGCTGAAGAATAAAGGAGCTCTTGGAGGGGGGAGATTTGAAGGCAAAACTTGGTCTCGGGAAAGAAAATAGGGTTGTTTTTATAGAAGGAGAAAAAGGTCTCGCTTTGTTTCAAGTGTGACAAAAGCAATGCCAAGAGCAGGGCGGGCGAGGCCTCCTTTTAATTGCCTCTGCAATCCCTTCTGTGCAGTTACAGATGCCAAACCCCAAACAAGCAGGCGATTCCCGGGAACCCAAAGGTCTTTGGGAGAGGCGCTGCTCCAAGCCGTGCGCACGTTTTGCTCTTAAACTTCCCCGGTTCAGGGTCCCGGGACCTTTGAAACCAGTAACCCCGGTTTGAAACCAGTAACCCCTGTGGGGTGCAGCTGCAGGACAGCTTCACAGCAGCTTGGACGCTGCTCTGCTCAGGGTCTACAGAGACCCAGCTCCTGGCAGAGCTTCCCCCAAGCACTGCCCTTCCGCGAGCACCAAGGGCAGCACGGAGGCAGCGTCATCAGCTCCGTTTTATTCCTGCCCTCGAAGCCTTTTTGCTGCATCAAGTGGGCAACAAAAAGCCAACCCGCCGCCTGTCACGGCCCTGAGGGCTTATTGCCCCCCTATGAATTGGGGGGACATTCAAAATCAAGGGCACTACAGACACCGTGAAGAAAGCGGAGCAGCATCTGCCAGCGCCCAGCCGGTCCCCGCTGTCCCCTGCAAAATCCCTGCGCTGCCGGCACGTGGGCACGGGCAGAACCCGGGCACCGAGCCCGGTCCCTGGCTGCTCATCCTCGCTCACCTCCTGCTGCTTCTCCTCATTGGGGTAGGTGTCCACAAACACCCCCAGGCCCAGGAAGTTGTCCTTGCTTCCAAAGACGGGGCCTAGAAGGAAGGATGGGTTAGGAATGAGAGCGACTAGATGCTGTTCTCCGTATCGGCTAACGAGGCAGCTTATGGGTTATGGGCCGGTTTGCAGGGAATGGGTATCCCCTCGGGTCGCATCGCTCGACAGCCAACTCAGACACAGTCTGTTAAATCTCTTCTTTAACTTATTTTTCACGGGAGAAATCACCAGAGAAGGCTCCTTCCTTCCCAGCCTTAAGGGGCTTCCGTTAGAGGGAGCCACGCTGTGTCACAAAATAAGAGATAGCAATAAATTTTATGTCGATATCATTTATTAATAAATATCTAGCACGCAAAAGAAAGTGCCTGGCGGTGGCAATACCCAGCCCACCGTCCCCAGCGAGTTTTTACCTGTTTGCATGCGGTCTTTGGTGTACCAGATGGCAAAGCCATCCCCGTTGAGGTTTTTCTTGCCTTGCCCGTGGATTTTGAAATGCACCTGCATCTCCCAGTCTCGCAGGTAACAGGGCTGCAAGACAAGGAAGGAGCCCGTGAGCTGGGGGTCCCCAATGCCGAGGGACCCTCGGGGACCTGCGGGTTTCCCAACCAAAGGTTGGGCTCCAGCAGGGACAAACGCTCCCTGTGCCCGCAGGGAGGGCTCCATTGCTCCCTATTTCCCTTGCCAACAGCACTGTTCTCTATTTTGGATGCGAGCACAAATAATTAATCCCCAAAGGCGTCATTAAGCCAAGGGAATTGCTTGTTATGCAGGGCTATAAAAAGCCAAGAAACCAATTCCAACCTCAGCACATTGGGAGGCAAGAGCAACTCCAGCAAAAATCAATAATCGGGGAAAAAAGGAGACTTGAACGACCCCAAGGAGCAGCTTTAACTCTGTGATCTCAAGTGAGCCAATTAGTTCCCGAGGTGCGAACGAATTGCCCGCGCCAAAGGGCACACAACACGAGGGGCTTCCAAGCGATTTGTTTGCATGACGTTAAAAGCCGGGCGCGAGCTTCGTTCTGAAGCTGCTATGAGCAAAGGCAGGTGAAAAACCCGCCCCGGTATTTCCCAGCGACGGGAGCGGAGCATCCCGGACAGCGCTTGGTCTCATAGAACGCTTTGCAGAACAGTCTCCAGAACGGCCCCTCACGCCCCCCTGCCCACAAACCTGCTGCTCTGGGGGTCCCCTCCCCAATCCAGCCCTG